TAGAGAAGAAAAGACAATAGGGCTAGATGGGGTAAAGCAACAAAGAGAAAACCACCAGCACATCTATAATATCTATATCCACAGTGTTCCTGTAGCTATTTATTATTGTATCTATTAAAAAGATAAAGGATAAGGCTTAGAATCAGTAACTAACTACTCCAAGTTCAGCAAAGTTAATTGATCTTCAAATGGTTTTCCAGACTTCAAAACTTGCTCTCTATGCCATGCATTGTTTTATCTTGCATGTTGTAAACAAGAAAACAATATTTCCTGCAAGCCCAAAAATACTAGGACATTCTGGCATAAGTTAAAATAATGAATCCCATTGCTTCATCATTCTTGGGAGATTCAATTCCCTGATGATATGAAGTGTTGGGCACAAATTACATCCTCAATGAGCTTAGGACTTTTAAAAGAATAAAGCAATAGTGGCTCTTTATAGTCTGAAAGACTTTCTGTTAAGGAATAAATGAATATAAGGGTTTGTTCCCTATGTGACAATTCTGTTATAAAGCCTTCAAGCTTTTTATATCCATGCTGTCATTGGGAAATCACTCTCCTTTCACAGGTAGGATTAGCTATTACTAAAATGTATTTTGGAATCTAGAAATAGATGTTTTATACACTAAAATAAAATTATGGGCTGAAACATATTCTGATGAATTAGTAAATGTCCTAAGTTAAATTCTACTACGCCATCCTATTCTCAGAGTACTTTAAATGTACAATAGAGCAATTTTAAATGTACAGAGTATTTTAAATGTACAATAGAGCAATATTTATAATGAAAAAAGAAGCAGACCAAAGAGAACATCCATTCCCTCAGTAATCACTGATGATCTCCATTTGGAAAGCACTGTTCTAAGTGCCACTGAGGTTGTCACTACAGATTGAATAACTCTTTGTCCTTACGGAGCTCACACTTTGGTGTGGAGTCTCGTTTTATGTTAGACCTGGATTTTCACCAAACAATAATAGTATCTACAATTTATTAAGTGCTCACTATATGTCAGACATATTCTTAAATTTTTACCTGAGTTAGATCCCTCACATGGAGGGAGTTGTTATTATTAATCGTGATGATGAATAACTTGCCCAAGTGTCGCTGATAGAAATGAGAGGATATGGGATTTCTAGCCTGGGAGTCTGACAGCAGGGACCCCCAATAACGATTAAACACTTGCAGACTCTCAACAATATACCATGCTTACTCTCTCTTGCTTCATGAAGAAAAATAAGGGGGTGATATTAAATAGTCTTTTAGGTTCTTTCTCAGTTAAAGAAGTTACTCTTTATAAGCATCATATCATGTAATGTTTTGTACCCCCTTCATGGAGAATTGTCCACTTCGAGGTTTATAATCTATATTATTTAAAATTATGTAAAAACATTTCATGAAACTGCCTTCTCTAAATTTATTTTTCCACTTCACATCTAACCATGACCACATGCCAAGGAGACATCAGCCTCATTAAAGCTAAAGACCAAC